CCTTACGGGAGCGGTTTCTCGTCGTAGTTCGTTATGAAGGCCTAGTGGCCTGTCAAAGAAAACGAAAAAGCACAGTTGGCAAACACTGTGATGCTTTCTTACATGATAAATAAAAAACCAATGACATATAAAAAAGCGTGCAATATTCTGGAGAAGACCTAAAGTCACATTCAGCAAAAGTGGGGTGCGGGTCGAAGAGAACGAAAAGGAAACTGTGGGTGAACCGCAGGTGAAAATACACGGAAAAATTGGTGGGAGATACCCGCTGACTTGAAATAGCTGATGATTTCAAGTTGGACGAGCTTACCACAGTTGCTGCACTAAGCCCGATACTGCTCGTTAAGCAGTTGAGGGTCAGGCATGATGTCGAGGAAACTTCTTCTCTCAGTGCTACCTCCTCTTACCTTCCACACTGCGACCCCTCAAAACTGTCGAGGGAAGGGGGGGGGGAATGGTCAGACACCGCCAAACTAGATGAACCGCGATGCTGCCCATTTGAGGAGGACTCATCGACCAAAAAATTTCATCAGCCCAGAAGAGAAGGGCTTCCCAGACGACCACATGCGACCCTAGATGAAAAACTGTCTGGTTGGCCTCGGGCAGATGTAACTATAGGACACAGCCCTTACAAAGGATTTGATAAGTCATACCCATGAGACACAGCCCCTACAGTGGATACTACATAAAAGAATACAGTACTAACCTGCCTGTTATCCCCTTGCTACAGAAAACACGCCCGTTGGGGGCGTGGTTACCAGCTGAAGATGGGAACTCAGCGTACTGAACCTGACCGCGCCGCTCATAACCCACCAACTGTCACTGTGTTTTGCATCGTCCGAGCACCTTAGCACCTCCCCAATAGATAGGAAAGCTAGTCATTGAAAAATCTCCTCAACTGAAGATTAAAGGCAAGGCTAACCGCGAGGGCGGAGTTAGTGTACCATTCTGCCTTTCTCATTTTTGCGCTCCTCCTTTCCTGGAATCTGCGGTAAGGAGAATGAGCCAATGAGGAGAGCGCAAAGCCAGGTTTGACCCCACCCATAATATATGCTTGGATTCCGTGATGGCATCAACCCGTTATCGTCTCACCCTTATGAAATTATCAATGTTTCTGCTGTAACAGG